TTCTCCAATCTCCTCTTGGGATCTTGGGCACACATGCACATGTGCCCGGTGTGTTTTAAGTCACTCAATCCGGATTTCGAGCTGTGGTCCACTACATGGGAGACCAATGACATAACCATTATACCATCTCCTGGTCCCAAGACTTGTATTATTAAAGACCTACTTCAGCACGGAAAGCAAGCTGCAAATTTTTCTATTTCAGTGTTCTTGGCAGAAATGGAGAACGGGATGACTGGGAGCGTACTTAAGTGAAATGGGTGCGTGAGGGACCTCTCCCCACGGCATGCCCCTTTGGCTGCTATTAGCAGTACTTTAGCTTTTATTTTTTATTTATTTATTTTTTAAAATTTTGCTATAGAGTATGTGCACTTGCCAGAGAGGAGAGGGAGAGAAGTGAGAAAGCACCCCCAGAGAAGATGGCCACACCACGGTCCGTTCTTCAGTCTCCTCTCAGGGTTTTGGGCACAAATGGACATATGTCCTGCATAGCTTTCTAGCCACCAGGTCCGAGTCTTGAACCACGTAGTCAGCCACATGGGATCCAGCCACCTTAGCCACTACACCAGTGACTATCCCGAGCTTTAGATTTTAATCTGTATTCAACTTCGTTCATTTTCCATTTCCTTCCTCAGTCTACTCCTAAAAATACCTAATGTACAATATTGTTGTTTCATGATAATCTTTTAAATTTATTTTTTCTTTTTTTTCAGATTTTTGCCCTAGGGTGCATGCACCCGCTGAAGAGACAGGCAGAAAGGGAAAGTGAGAACTCACCCCCCCTGGGGGACTGGCCATGCTTCGGTCCCTTCTCCTCCACTCTCTTCTTTTGGGCATGCACGCGCACATGCCTGGAATTTTTTTTTTTTTTTTTTGAGAGGTTTTCTTTTTTTTTTTTTTTTTTTGCTATAGGGCGCGTGCGCTCGCCAGACGGAGAGAGAGAGCTAGAAAGCGAGAAATCACCCCCCAGAGGGGATGGCCACACTGCAATCCCTTCTCCTCCATTCTCCTCTCGGGATCTTGGGCACACACGCACACACATCCGCATGCCTGGAATATTTTTTTAAACTGCTGGGCCTAGGACTTGAACCACAGGATGAGCCATGTGGGAATCTAGCCTCTTAACCACCACACACCTGTTGGGCTGTGATAATCTTTTAAGAATGCACTTAAGCAAAACTTTGTTTACCACAACAAACAGGCAGTTATTTTTCCAAGCAAGCCCACTCCTAACCTCTGTAGGGCCCACGGCAGGGCCACAAATCTCAATATGTCTAAACATTTAACAGTTATAAAGCAAGGTTACAAAATGTTACAGAAAATGTGTTGTATCCATCTACCTTGACAAATGTACCTTCATAAGGAAAAAAATCATGTTTAAAGCCATAGTTATTACACAGCTGAAAACTGGCAAAATATCAAATAAAAAGGAATTTAATTTTTACTGTTCACCTCTGGGTATTCTGCTGATGGGCTACCAATGCTAGGAGAGTAATAAAGGCATACACGGCCCATAAATTATTATAGATTTCCTGTTTTTTTTTTCTTGCCTTAATTTCAGAAAAATCATTGTGTACCTGATACAAGAGTTTTAACACAATTGTGTTCTATTGACAGTGGTGCCAAATTAGACAACTTTTCCTGAGTTCTATTTTGTATGTAGTTTTTAACAATTTCGACTCGAGAAACTTCACTTGAAGGAGTGGCAACTGAAATTCCAAGATTCTTTTTTTTTTTTGGAGAGGTTTTCACTACATGGCACGTGCGCTCGCCAGAGACATAGAGACAGAAAGCGAGAAATCACCCTCCAGGGGGGATGGTCACGCCGCAATCCCTTCTCCTCCATTCTCCTCTCGGGATCTTGGGCACGCATGCACATGCGCCCGGCGTGAGTTTTAAGCCACTGGGTCTGGAACGTGAACCGTGGTTGACTACATGGGAGTCCAGCGACATAGCCATTACGCTAACTGCTGGTTCCCGAATTCCAAGATTCTTAAGGATTTAGATTCACAATTGAACCATGGATATTGATATAATGCTTGAACATTGGGAAGAAGGTCTGTATGAAAAATGATTACAATTGCAGAAAACATGTTTTCTTTTCATTATATATTATCACTATTTCACTATTATTGATTTCTTTTTTTGTTTCTTTCCAGAGGGCATGTGCAGTTGCCAGAAAGAAAGGGAAGGAGAGAGCACCCCTCAATGGGGCAGGGCACACTGCAATTCCTTCTTCCTGTCTCCATCCTGCCAGGATTTGGGGCATGCACACGTATGTGCCCTGCACTTTTTAAACTCAGGGCCGGGATTAGAACTGCAGTGTAGTATGCAGCATCAGACTGACTTTAACCAGTAGTCCACAGGACTAGCCCTATTATCATTGTTTCTTTTCTTTTTTGTTTTTGGAGATTTTGCCGTAGGGCGCAAGCGCCTGCTGGAGAGACAGACAAAAAGTGAGAAGCAGCACCCCCAGCAGAGATGCCAAGCCACAGTCCCTCTCTTCCGTTCTGCTCTTGGGATGTTGGGCATGCATTCACACACACACACACACGCCCAGCGTGTTTCAAGCCCCCACGTCTGGGCCTCAAACTGCAGTAGGCCATGTGGGAGTCCGCTGTAGGGCGCAAGCGCCTGCTGGAGAGACAGACAAAAAGTGAGAAGCAGCACCCCCAGCAGAGATGCCAAGCCACAGTCCCTCTCTTCCGTTCTGCTCTTGGGATGTTGGGCATGCATTCACACACACACACACACGCCCAGCGTGTTTCAAGCCCCCACGTCTGGGCCTCAAACTGCAGTAGGCCATGTGGGAGTCCAGGGCCTTAACCACTATGCCACCTGCTGGCCCCTATCTTTCTTAAATGGTATCTAGTTTCCTACTGCATTTTCTCTTCTTTTACAATGTTTCAGTACTGGGATATTACAAAGAAAACAGTGCTGAAGGAGCTTGCTCACTTCATCTACAAAGGACAGAAGAGTTCTACAGAAACTAGTTTCAGGGGGCCAGCTCTGTGGTCTGCTGGAACTCACATGGGCAACTGCGTACTTCAAGTCCTAGACCTGGCAGCTCGAACATGCTGGACTCTTCGGCATGAGTGCCCAAGATCCCTAGTGGGAGAGATGGAGAAGGGATTGCATGGGAGCATTCTCCACGGCGGATGCTTTTTCCTCTCCCTCTTTCTCTTGACAAGTGCGCACTCCCACTAGTGAAAAAAAGAATTCACTTCAGGAGTATTTATTTGTACATGAATCTTCTTCAGATTCTCTCATATATTTCCCTGTTCTAATTCCCCTATGTTGTCCTTGTATGTTATGCAGTTTCTTTTGGAAAACCATTTTTTCCCTAAAACTTAACTATCTTTAGTCTCTGAAGAAATTAAGTTTATTTACCTATTTCTTCCACGAGTGAGGGACAGTATCCCTGACAGGGTGCTTCCCATGGGGGTCGGTCTCATGGAGAGTGGCATTTCACTCTGCATCATCTGGCCCTATCCCTTTCGATTTTTAAAGGCTTTTTCTATATCAACTGTGTACAGCTCGAATTCACAATTCACTTTACTTTCTGTCAAAACCACGATTTGCTCTTTGAATATTATCTATTATTCCACTTAACTCTTCCAATGCGTCTCACCTGTCACCTGTCTGAATTAAGCCTAATTGCTCTAAGGCACTGTGAGATTACTGTCCTGGATCTGAGAGTAGTTATGGGTCACATCTGAAATGCTTCACCATGTTTCAAAACAACATTGTCAAAACCATCCCAGTGTATAATGGTCGAACTGATCCAAAGAAGGTCATCGCTCTTATGCACCAAGGTCATGTCCTAGTAACAGAATCACACCACATGCCCAGGTCTAAGAGCGGT